GTAGAAGGTATAAATTAAAAGAAAATCCTTAGTGAAGGCTTGTTCTTGGATCCCCACACACCATCTGCTGGTCCTTTCATGCTTTTTACCCCCTTTTAAATTGACTACTTTCAACTTCCACAATTGAATAAACTCCAGTGTCAGACTCCTCTTACATGGTTTGTAAACCAGGTGGTTAATTGAGCCAGAGAGGCATATTTTAAAGCACCCAAGTAAACGAGGTCCTGACTTCTACATCGGTGGGCTGAGCTCTGAATATGATTGTATTACCCCCCATGGTCAGTCCTAACAAAACCCCCTCAGACATCAGGCTCTAAATAAAATGCTGCTACATTTTTAAGTCTTTATTACTATTCTTTATTTTAATGGGTCATTTTTTAAAGATATAGCAGAAATTTAAAAGCAGTAGTTAAATTTGGTTATCTGAGTCTGTTTTATGTTGCGTGTAAGCATCAGTTTCTCACTGGACGATTTCATTGCTGTTAGCGAAATATGAGTCACTTTCTTATCTGCAACTAGGCTTGTCACTAACATTTCCTGTAATGTTTAAACATTTACTACATCAGTAACTACATGTTCATAAAAATGCTTTTTTAGTTTGTGTTTTAGTTTTAGATCTCTAGAGACCAAGTATCAAAATAGTGCCGGAAAAAATGTGACCATGACATCAAATGTAGTGCATTAAAATAAATGCACCGAGGAGTGTATAGTGTTTTTGTAAACCTAGTAAAAGATGGTCCTCCAGCTGAAATGACCGACCAATATTTTTTAAAGATGCAGCAATTAAAAGATTTCTACTAGGAAAGAAGCAGACATGGAAGGTCAAGAAAGTTAGATAAAATGATGAGCGTGATATTTGACTTTAAAACATGGTGGGGGATCATCATCATGCTGCTGCGATACCTTTTTTTAGGAAAGCTGGATGAGAGGAAGATGGATGGAGTACAAGACAATACTTTAGGGAAAAAGGAAAGGCTACAAAATACTTGAGAATGGGATGAAGGATATGCATTTGTCAGAACAGCCTAGTCAAAGTGCAAACAAAAAATACATTCGAGGCTAGAATTGATGGTTATAGGATTGATGATCTCCATTTGTGATAGAGCTTTAGCTACTGTAGGGAAGGTCAGATATTAGTCTTTATGTGCAAAGCAGGTAGAGAAATATCAAGGAAGATATTAATGCTCCGATTGCAATATTATCTGGTTCTTGTTTTTACTCAAGGGGGCTGAACATAAAGGCATGGTTTTCAGATTTTTCATTGTCAAAATAAAAAACGATTGATGATCAAATTCACCCCGCCTCTCACCAATTGACAGCTGGAGATAGGCACCAGCACCCCTCGCCACCCCACTTGGGATTAAGTGTGTTAGAAGATGGATGGATGATCAAATTCAAGGGTTATAAGTAGGGCTGAAACATTTAATCAGATTAATCGTGATTAATCGACTGTTGAAATAATCGTCAACTACTTTAGTAATCGATTGATCGTTAACTGGAGTATAGAGACTCTAAAGCATGCCTGTAGCTCACAGAGAACCCACTTAGAGCAGGAATTATATCAAAATTGTAAAAAAAAAAAAAAAAAAAAAAAAATATATATATATATATATATATATATATATATATATATATATAATCATTTAGCATTTAAGATAAAAAACAAAAAAATTCATTTTTCTTCTCTCAATAGCTCCATTAAGAACCATTCAAGTGGAATTGGTAAAAAAAAATCATTGATTTGTTAAAAAACTCTTCTTTAAGGAACCTTTTTCCATCCGATTATTAATTAATTAAAAAATAATAATAATTGACAGATTAAACGATTTGCAAAATAATCGTTAGTTGCAGCCCTAGTTATAAATACCTTAGCAAGGGACTGAATATCTTTTGTTCCCAAAGCACTCTTGGCCAAGTGTTTAAATTTAACATTTTTCAAGCCAAAATTAAGCTTTACATAATTTTTCTTTAAAATAGGACAATAGATAAAATGGATTTACTCTAAAATCATCCACTTAAATGGATGATAACTGAGAGGACTTTTGTTATAAATGAACCGAAGAAAGCTGAACGGACACATTAGTATGCTGCTGTCGACGTAGGGTGGAGGGAAAACATGCCCAGTGCATCACCACTCCTCGCAAAACGTGCCGCTATAAGGACTGATAGCGAAAAGCAAGAGGAAGAAAAGAAACACTCAACAAATATAGAACACAAAGAGGCAAGAGGGACTTGACTGACTTTGGGAGATTTGATATTCTCTTTGTATATTTCCAGCTTTTTCCTTCCTTCTGCCTGTCTTTCCCAGCTTCTTTCTCTTAGCTGCTCTCTTTCCATAATTTTTAGTGTTTTTTTCCTCTCCCCAAAAAGCAGACAGAAAGCACTGAAAAGAGCATTTGCACACCTGAGTGAAAAGAGCTTGCAGGTGCGTGGGTGGAGAGCTGTGGGAATCAAACAGGGTCTCTCTCTTTGTCTATCCTGCTCAATCTTCCACTCCTGAGGTGTTTTTGCAGGGCTTGTGTTTGTATTGGAAACTTGTGGGCGGTGGAAGTGCTTCTTATATGCATGCATGTGCATCATGTGTGTGTGTGCAGCGTTGTAGCTGTGAGTGTTAAACCCGCCTGGCTTTGGCCCTGTTTTTGAAAACAACCCTCAGGTTTCGGTTGGCTCAACCTTTTCTCCCGCAGATTGTTCCTTCCATTAAAAAACCGGAATAAAAAAAAACGCTTGGTCAGACCTTCCTGGATGACTTCATCGGGTCCAGACTAACTCCAAACAACCTTTTGAGCAAACCAGAACAAAATTCAGCCTTTGATTTCATGGTTGCAGCAAAGCTGGCGACATAGAGACTCGAAGCAGGTGCAAAGACACGTCCACATTAAAACATGCTGATAAAGGCCACACAGAGGATCACCTGGTGTATAAAAAATCCTACACATTTTTTATCATGCAATAAACTAAGAACAAGGAGTGCATTTCTTAAAGTTGGACAACAAGTGCAACTTCTTGAGTAAAAATGATGCTTGTATCCGCACACCCTTTAGTCAGATATTCTCAAATGTCTCTAAGAAAAGCTAGTTTCCTCTATATGTTTACCAGTGTTGGAAATAACAATATTTCATAATAACATAGTTATTAACTGCATAATTTTTTCATTGGAAAACAAATCTAACTGCTTCTTCATATACTGGTAATGACGTTAAGTCACTTGCAATCTAAAGCAAGCTGGCGTCATTACTAAATAAAGGCGACTGCTCAAGTCAAAGGCTAAATGCTTCTGCCATTTGCTCATTCTGTGCAGGAACAATGAGCTAATATTTCTTAATATAAATTTAGAAGCATCTCTAATCTAAAGAAGCTCCTCACATCAACTCAGCCATGACTCCTCATAGCTCTTGACTTGCTGTGCTATTCATTTGCATGATTTACTGAAAATATACTGGGATATTTGTTATTTGTTGATGTTTTGTTTTGTACTTTTGTTTTCTGGAATAGTGTAAGTTTTATTTATTTAATTTGTGTTAAATTGCTTGAAAATATTTTTTTTTTGGGTTCTTCTCTATTTTAAAGCCAGTTGATGGTTGTCAACCTGCAAACATATAAAGTTTGGCATCTGATTAGATTTGCTTTATTTTTCTTTTATGAAAAACAAAAAACATAATCATATCTACAAAAAAGTTTTTTCAATCGTATCCTACCAAACACACCAAAATGTTGCAGATTGGCCTAATTAGTCCAATTGTAAAATATAATTAATTTCCAGTTGTGTTTAAAGCTCACATAACAGGAAAATTATACAAATTATTTTACAATTCAGATAAGAAAAAAGTAACCGCATAATTTTGACATTGAAATTACTTTGATTGTGAAGCACCTCAGTTACTAACTTAGATACTTTTTTGACGAGGAAACTACTATTTAAAACTAGTTTTTTTTATATATATATATATACTTATGTCGACAAAAATGATAATATTCGCAGCCCAGATGTCAAGGCTTTAAAAAGGAGTGGCTGAGGTTCAATGAAAGACATTAGAACTCCTGTTTCTGTAGCCAATGTAGAAAACATTTGTTAGAAGGTGCTTCAGTCAGATTAGATCAAAACTGGGCATTTGGGTCTGTATTAATGATGCAATGATGCCAATAAAGAAGGTAAAATATCTTCAGAAAACAGGAATAAACTCAGATGTCTTCTAATTCTATGTAATGTATCTATTCCTAACTATGACTGAGTATCTACATCAACACACCCTAAAGATCAACGATAGCTCAACTCAAAGTATACTTCTCTGTTTGAGTGTCCTAGTCAAAGTACAGAACTAAGTTCTTTAAACAACCTGTAGCAAGACCTGAAAAATGGCTGTTTACAGATGCTGCTTAGAAGAAAAGGTGCAAATTTCTGTTTTAAGGTTAGCAAACCTGGTAATGATACACCCCGACAAACGTGTAGCTGTAATTGGAGCAAATGATGGTTCCACAAAGATTCAACTCAAAGGAGCCGAAGGCAGATGGATTTCATAGATCTAGACTTATCAAACAGTTATAACCTCTGGTTAGAGATTACTTAAAATCCAAATAAAACATTAAGAGGTTTTATGTTATGTGACAAAGAGTGATAAAGTTTAAGAAGTATTGCTTTATAAAGGCAGAGAACGACGACTGAAAAGTCCCAGAAATAAGTAAAATAATACAATGGAAAGTTTTTCTCAGCAACAGAATAACGTATTGGAGGAAATTATACTCCTTAAATCCACATGGTCATCTAGTTATTTTTTATGCAGAGCATCCTGTAGTTTGGTGCCCGCCTGCAGACCAGATTAAACACAGATCTCTGACATAATTACCATAAACACACCCGCCCCATCTGCGTCTTCATCATGGGGGGATAAACAAACACACTCAGGCACAATCAGAAATCAACCATGCAATCATAACAACCCACCCCAAGCACCACCTACACCCTGCAGAAAGGCCCAGCACCATGCAATCCCTCATCTCACCGATGATGTAGTAGTCGTGCATGCTCTTAAACTCGTGGCCCCAGAGGTTTGGTGAAAACTCCTGGAACTTGATGGTGAAGCGGCGCTCCCTCGTGGGCTCGTCACACGTCAGGACGATGTTGGGCGTGCCCAGCACCTCGCAGCGGTCGGCCTGTTCCCGCGACGACACGAGGTAGAGTTTGTAGAACTCGTACTCTGACGTGGACCTGGCCGTGTCCAGCGGGGGGCAGATGAGGTCCAGCCGGTCCCCGATCTGAGGGTAGAGAACATAGCCCTTGTCGTCCCTAAACCTGGAGGAAGGTAAGAAGGGAAATGAGGAGAAAAAAATTAGCCTGGAGAGTAAAGCAAGGCGAGAAAGTTGAATAAAAACCTTTATGAAGCAGCTGCTTCATAAAGATTTGCTGCTGTCTGAGCAACAGATGGGACTTTTAGCCCTTTTAGTTCCAATACTTTCTACCTTTGCTGACTTTAAACAAAACAGATGTTTAAAGCAATGAAGAGTTGTGTAGCTAAAAGAACCATTTCTCATTTTAATGTAGAAAAAAAGGGAATCCGAAATATAAAAATTTCCAACTTTAAGTTTTAACAGAGAATTATAAAAGGTCAGAAACAGTTCCTGATGACCAATGTACAAAAAACACGAATCTTTGCAAAACAGACAGACAGACAGACAGACAGACAGACAGACAGACAGACAGACAGACAGACAGACAGACAGATGATAGATAGATAGATAGATAGATAGATAGATAGATAGATAGATAGATAGATAGATAGATAGATAGATAGATAGATAGATAGATAGATAGATAGATAGATAGATAGATAGATAGATAGATAGATAGATAGATAGATAGATAGATAGATAGATGATGAAAAGTGGTCCCCATGTCCTCCAGCAGCCTAAACATATAGCATCATAGATATATGATATATGATAGATAGATAGATAGATAGATAGATAGATAGATAGATAGATAGATAGATAGATAGATAGATAGATAGATAGATAGATAGATAGATAGATAGATAGATAGATAGATGATGAAAAGTGGTCCCCATGTCCTCCAGCAGCCTAAACATATAGCATCATAGATATATGATATATGATATATGATAGATAGATAGATAGATAGATAGATAGATAGATAGATAGATAGATAGATAGATAGATAGATAGATAGATAGATAGATAGATAGATAGATAGATAGATAGATAGATAGATAGATAGATAGATGATAGATAGATAGATAGATAGATAGATAGATAGATAGATAGATAGATAGATAGATAGATAGATAGATAGATAGATAGATAGATAGATAGATAGATAGATAGATAGATAGATAGATAGATAGATAGATAGATAGATAGATAGATAGATAGATAGATAGATAGATAGATAGATAGATAGATAGATAGATAGATAGATTTGACTATGAAAAAGTATTGTTTTTCCTTTGGGGTCCTGTAAATTGTTTTTGCTATATATTTTTCCATCTTATTTACATTTATTTAATTTATCAGGGTTCATAACAACAAGTCAGGCCAATCAGGGGTTCATCTTCAGGGTCGTAAAGATCAATGACTTGACACTTATCTACGGTGTATGATGCAGCTTTACAGTCAAATCTTTCATGCTTTGTCTTTTACATGTCGTAAAATATGGAACATTTAGATGAAAGTAAGCAGTGAAAGTGGTGCTCTTCTTCTATTGCCATTCCTGCTGTGGAGCAGAGTTGTTTTCTCAGTGAAAGCCCCTGCTGTTTGAAAAAAACTACTAGTTTGAGTTTAAAATCATAGTATGAATGGATCATCTTAAATATTTGACATTGTATGAAATTATATCGCATCATATGTGATATGCATCATATTCTACTGTAATACATCTCTCTGTAATTTATCATATGACATTTGACATTATAGAATTCATCATTCTTACAGTACCACAATATCCTGCACTGTATTCCAATGTATCATATCATAGATTATATATTAGAATAGAATTTGACTTTATAATATTATATTCTCCACAGTAGTGCATATTGTCCTATTATACTGTATCATTATTATACAGATCTCCATTTTGCAACCTATTATCCAATTTTTTTCCATGCATTGTATTTGATTGTATTTTGCTAAATGAAAACTTTAAATCGGATGTGGCTGACTGAGCAAAATCTAATGGAATAATTAATACCTTTTGTATATAGTTAAGTCAGAGTTATTATTACCTTGTTTACAGTATAATATATATATATTTGAGAAGAGATGGTCCACTCTAACATACATGGGAGAACATCACACACATAATTCTTCTTGAAAACCCTTTAAAACCAAGTGTATCATGTTTGATACATTAGTTTTTGCGACCTCTGCATCATTAGTTGGATCTTGCTGATCTTAAAAACCCTGACTTACACAATTAGACACGTGTAGTGAACAGAAAATATATATAATGTTCTACAGGAATGCCTAATGTTTTAAAATTGATGCAAATAAATAATCTAATTTAACTTATACAAAATATATATATATATATATATATATATATATATATATATATATATATATATATATATATATATATATATATATATTATTTTCTTTCATTTGTCAAAGAGTTCAACTTTAATTTAAAAAAAGAAAATCTGTAAATTATTTCATGGTCAAAATACCTAAAAAAAAAATAAATAAATAATGCAGAATGTCTGTTTATTTTGGCTTAATTTATAAAAGTATAACTAAGTCTTTTCTTCTCCGAACATATCTGGTAGATATATGCATAAAATAAGAGCAAAGATCAAAACAACAGTTCAAAGCATTTTATAAAAACTTTTTCCTTTTTGAAGAACATCTCTCTGAGCTCATTTTCATATCTTTTTTTTTCTCCCCCCCTTTGGTTTCTGCTGTGTTTATATTTAGAAGTGAGAACTGAGGCATGTCCGTGGAGGTAGAAAAACAGGCAGACAACCATCTCAACAGAGCTGCAGAACAAAGAAGAACACTGTCAGAACCAAATCTCAGGTATGTACAGTAAATGAGTTTGGAAATTAGCCGTCTTTGTGTCAGTATGTCATCCACTGGGGGATGAAGTGTGTTTGTTTGGCGATCCAACAACTGTCATCTACTCCATGACGGGATTTTAATTAAATAACTCTACAACCATCGTTATTTGCGTCGATTGTTTTTTTTTTTTTTTTTTTTAAGAATTTGGGTCAAAAAGCTTTATTGAACCATAAACTGAGTTTTGAGGTGATCTTTTTAATAGATATGTATGAAAATGTTGGCGTGCTTGCTGTTACTGTGCAGCTGTGTCACCCCTCATTGCATAAGGCCATCTCGCCCTGATAAGGCCAAATACTATGACTTATGAACAGAGCTCCTGAAGCCAACCATTACTCTAATACATAGTGAAGACATATGTTTTTGTGACTCCTTCTCAGTTTGAATGAATGTTACAACTGCAAGGAAATGGAGGGGAAATAGTTTGTAGCAGCATGTATTTAAATGGGGGGGACAGATTTCCCTTTCTCACACAATCGCAAGTGACACCTTGATGTGGAAGTGGGAGGAAACGCTGCCTGTAGAGTTAAACCAGCTGATTTTTCTTCGTTTTTACCTCCGTAAGAGATGCTGCCTCTTTTTTCAACGAATCCACATGAACACTTGGGAGTCCTAGCAACATGAAGAAAACCTGCTTAATTATTCTCTCTGTACGGCTGTCAGAAAAAAACCATTCGAGTATTAAAAGTAAACAATACGAGATCACAAAGCATGCAAAGACAATGAAGGATGGAACATAACTGCGCTGTCAAAAAAAAAAGCAAATTGCGCTTGTGTCAAATAAAACGGGAAGTGACAGTTTTATTTGTTTGAATCGGAGAAAGACACACAAAAAAAAAAAAAAAATCACCTTTAGACCGACCTGTCACATTTATTTAGTAATTTTCGGATTGCAATCATTTAGCGGTGCAAAAGCCATTTAGCATAATCCATTGCATTGTTTCCATTCACCCGTAAAATAACAAGTGGAGGAAGATAGCAGAAATGGTTTCCAGCCTGCTTTATGTAAGAGCTTTATGGAGCCATCTGTTTATTTCATATGTTTAGCACTATGTAAAGAAAAATTAAACGGCACTATATAGTAATCTGCTGTAATTGCAAAGCCACACTTTTTCATTAGAGTGTAAATAGTTTAATTTTTCATTGTTTTTGCCAATATTCTAATGTATATCTATGTTTAATGTGTCTATATTTTTTTAAATGCTGTTTTCTTAAATTATGCTGCCACTCTTTCAGGTCTTTTAGGTTATTCTAAATGACATATTTAAGAAAATGTTGTCAATTGTATGCCTGTCTTTCTGTGTCTGGCACCGTTGCACAAAATACCTGATACATGTTCAAACACAACTCAGAGATAAAGGCTTATGTGATGCTGATTTCAGTAACTTAGAGGGTATTTGTCAGTTAACCAAACAAAAGTGGTTAAACATGCTTCCTGTAAAAAGGTTACAAAAACTTTTTTTTTTCTTTTAAGAAAACTTTCATAACTTCTTCAGGAAGGAAAAAATAATAATTATGCAAGTTCATGATTAACAAGATTAGGGAGCACTGAAAATGAGACAATTAGATTTTCAGTAATAGAATAAGCTAAAAAAGCAAGAACTTTTTCACATGCCGTGCGTCTCTCATTAGTTTCAGCTGTTCAGACTGCAGGCATAACTCTGTAATTTAATTTTGCTCCTAGATAAACTGGTCCTCTGCCTTTTTTAGAAACTATAGCTGGAAAAAAAAGCTCAACATAAGGATGACTTTGACTTATTACGGTTAGAAGCCACATCTATTCCAATTAGTAGTACTAGTTGACTATTTCTCATATTTTGCTGATTATAGGTAGCATTTATTTAAAAAAAAAAGGGGTTAGGTATGCTCCAAATAAACCTTAAAATAGAAAAACTTTGTATGTACTGAGTTAAACATTTTAATCTGTTAATTTATTGATTCCCCAATTGCTATATTTGGTGAAAATGGCTGCATATCAAAGGGTTTTATGAATATAATGAACTCCTTATCTAGAGGCATCATCTATAAAGGTTTTTTCAAGAGCTTTTTGAAGACAATCCATCTGGATGTTCCATCTAAACGCTTTTCTACAAATAAGATGATATACAACACTCTAGACCAGGATTCTGCAACATTTACAACCCATATATCCATTGTTGCCCTGTGTCCAGCTATAGAAAAAAAGTTTCAAGCAGTATATGTTTTTTTGATAAAAAAGGAAGT